TGGAGTAAAAGCGTAACAACCAACATAATCTAACACAATATCCTCAATCATTCGACACTCTTCTTTGTAATATTCATCCCAAATATTGTGTGCATTGCTGTCTTAGAAGCAACAAGCAGCTTCATATTGGGAAGTTCTAGAAGCAAGATCATCTGGATCTTTCACATCTTCACAATCCCCTTGTTAAGATGCTTAGCCTTGATTATCCTTGTCATATTTCTCTAAGAGCCATTTGTTACTTCCGAATTGTATGTTGAGTAAAATTATGTAACGAACACATTACTTGACTAACTTGACTTGTTTTAAAGTTGAATGAGCAGTTCGTTTTGAAAGCAAAATGCTAGTTGAGAACATGAAAGATGTCATTTGCAGAATTTCTTTATGTAGATTGACTCAAATTGAGTAATTCCTTAGGGTTTTAATGGAGCATTCAGAATATGGCCAAATTCCTCAAGGTGGTAATGAACACCATGATATGGGGCAATAAAACTTGAGGTATTCACATAACCTACATTGACTAGGTAATATTTACCTGGCTCGTTGAAAAAGGTTTGAACAATCAGGTACATCTTTATCAAGGTTCTTAGTAATTCATTGTTGTTAAAGAAATACCTTGGGGAACATAGAAGCATTGTTTTAATACTTCTTGGAGAACTTCTCCTTCAAAAAAAAAAAATGCTTCTTGGAGAACTCTAGAATCATCACCAGAATCCCTCTTACCTTGCATGGACATATGTGAACATCAGAGTGAATCAAAATGCGGCCGTGACATTTTTGGAAAGGAACCTTTTTTAATTGCTATGTGGTGTTTGGTTCTTAGCATCGACTGTCACATCTATGTCAGTTCAAGTAATTGTTCTATTACTATCCTTAACAAGATAAAATTATAATGAGATACCCATGATAACAATTCTAACTACCTAAAAGTTATATTGTAGGAATGGTACTTTGAAGGAGTAGAAATAGTAGGAGTGGTACTCCATGACATTTTGGAATATGCGGCCATGACATTTTTGGAATGGAGCCCTTTTTTATTGTTATGTGGTGCTTGGTTCTCAGCTTTGACTGTCACATCTATGTGAGTTCCATTAATTGTTCTTTTACTATCCTTAACATAAATTATAGTGAGATACGCATGATAACAATTCTAACTACCTAAAAGTTATATTGTAGGAATGGTACTTTGAAGGAGAAGAAATTAACGTTACCTTGGACCTTAGGAGAAGCAGTCATTAATGGGACGTGGACTCAATGAGGTTCCATTATACTCATTGCTTTAAGGACATGTGAGAAATACCAAGTGAACATGTAACCAGAGTTGGAATCATTCTTATACCACGTTATAAGAGTTATGGGTGACATTGTGTAGAAACATTCTTACTTGTTCCTCTACCCTGGTACAGTATAGTTATGGAGGAGAATTTTCCCCTTGTAAAGTATAGCAAATATTTTCGAGGATGAGTTGCTCCATATGAATTTTCTCCTTACAGCAGATTGGATGTTTTGTTAGTATCTTCCACATATATTGGCTCCTTGTAGACTAGAGGTCTGACAAAGCATCTTATCTATTTATGTTGCATAGTATCCTATGGTAGCAACATGATTGATTGATTTTGGCTTATACCTTCCCTAGTCAATTAATCATACTATAACCACAAATCTATGCTTATTATATCGTAAACTACAACCATCTTTCAAATTCAGATTTTATAATCTTGCCATATCAGTTTTTGTATCATTATCACATTTAGAATATGAGACAATAACAACCATATGTGTAACAATATAATAATAAGAATAAAACATCGCTATAAAAGAGCATCACATGCGTAGTAGCACAAAAGCCAAGATTGTCCTTGTCTAGCAAAATAATCATAAAAATGGGGCCCCTTACAAAATCTCAAACCATGCAAGGCCATTGTCAAAGGAGGAACCTTTGACATAAATGAGGGCAAAGGTCATAGATACATTCGCAGGATTAAGATACTTGAAGTGAAAGAAGCTTTGAAAAACATAAAGACAAGAATTTAGGATGAGACGGTGTCTCAATAGAGGTTTGGGATTGCATGGGAGATTGGTATATGATGGTGTACCAAGCTATTCAACAAGGTGTTGAGAACAAAGAAAATGCCAGACGGATGCTGAAAAAGTATTGTGATACCTATTTACAAGAACAAGGTTTCAAAAAACGCTAGGCGGCCCCTAGGGGGCTTGCCTGGCGCCCAACGCCTAGCGCCTAGGTGGGTGCCCAAAACCTCGGCCGCCATGTAGTTTTAAAAAAATGAGAAACGTCTAGCCACCTAGCATGCCTGGGTGCTTGTCCAGGTACATCCGCCCGTGTAGGGCCGCCTGGGTCTAGGCGAGCGGATTTTTGGTCCAGGCCGTCGAGGTGCCAAGCGCCAGGTGAACTGTTTTTTAAAGAGAACTGTATGAACTATCGAGGAATCAAACTTATAGGCCACACTATAAAGCTATGGGAGAGAGTGATTGAGCAAAGACTAAGGTATGAAATGAGTGTATCAGAAAATCAATTTGATTTATGTCAGGGAGATCAACAATTGAGGCTATTTTTTTTCCTACTTAAACAATTAGTTAAGAAGTTTAGAGAGAAGGGAAAAGACCTCCTTATAGTCTTTATTGATTTACAAAAAGCATACGATAGGGTACCTAGAGGTGATTTGGTGGGCGTTGGAAAGGAGTATCTAGAAACTATATTGACATGGCGAGAGATATGTACGAAGGAGTGCTAACTAAGGTAGGGACGAATGAATTTTTAGTGACAATAGTAAAAATCTAAAACCTAGGAGCTCGTTTATTGGTAATTTCTGGCTTGGTTCCAAATGGTTCGGTATGCGAATCCCATAAATTAGGAGTCTCGATTCCAAGTTGATGGGACTGCGATTCCAACAAGATAGGAATCGATCGGTGTGCGATTCACAAATGATAAGGATCCACTTCATGTGATATGTAGTGTACGGACGACATACACCCTTGAGCTAAGTTCTGCAGCATTAGCTCAAGGGTTAAAAACTCCTAAAGAAATGAAAAGAAAAAGGAACGAGAAAATGGTTTTATGAGGAGAGAGGAAATGTAGTGAAAGGCTGTTCGTTTTAGAGGAAAATGGTGTTAGATCGTTGCCTTAGGTAGTTTCCTTTGAATTTTGTAGATGTTCCTATTATCACCAAATGCAAAATTTCACCACCATCATCATCCGAGCCTCGCCCCAACTTTTCGAGGTTGGCTATGTGAATTGTGTTTAGCCATTTTGCTATATAAAAGGCCATATCCTCAGTCAGACTACAACTCCGATATGGCTGGTCCCAATCCCAGATGAAGGAGGAAGGTTGTATTCGGTAGGGCAACCAACGTAAAACTTTGTGACATCTTTTTATGAATCGTGAACCATCAAATGAAAAATTTAAAAGCAAAAAAGCAAAAAAAGAAAAAAGAAAAAATATTTTGAGCTCTTAAAGGCTTAGATCTAAAATGGATGGCAAGTTGCTTCATTGAATCTTTCTCACCAAAAAAGATTCATTTTCTATAATTTTTCTAAAATTTGCTTCTATGATTGTTTATTGGGTTCAAGCAAGTTTGTGTAAAATTTCAGATTGAATAGTCCTCATAGATAAGCTATTGTAGGAGTTTTGACTGTGAGCTATTGCTACAAAACTTAGATTGAGACTGTATGTAAGTATTCCCTTTGTATACACACACGTGAATATGTGTGTGTGTGTGTAGGTTGGGGGGGAAGAGAGAGAGAGAGAGAGAGAGAGAGAGAGAGAGAGAGAGAGAGAGAGAGAGAGAGAGAGAGAGAGA